CGTATTAATTAGATTTCAATGGATTCCTATGGGAAAACACATTTCACAAGATGAATTTTTCGCAAGACATTAATCGTGGAACAAATTAAATTCATCTTGCGAGGCACCACTGTAATCTATATACAGATGTCATGCAGTCTCTAATTAGTACATATCTATCAAGTGTAGCAAGTAGGTCCTGGACCAGTGGCATTTTAGATACAAGTCAATAAATTAAGGTTGGATTTTTGCAAAACAGAGCACTTGTGAGTGCTCCTATATCCCAGAGATTGCCTGGCTACCTGTTCAGGAAGGTGTCACATTTCTTTTGAAGGGTTGGCTTTCAACCAGGTAATACTCCTGGGTCAGTCTTTGCCATCAGAGGCCAAGGTGGTCTCAGCGGTTCCAAGTGCCTTTGGCCAGTTTCAACCAATATGTTAGCTGCAGCCATTCTGTTGCTTGTTCCTGTACGTGTTAGTTTTTGTTGTTAGTATTTAAGGGGCCTAGTTACCTGAGAGACCATAATCTCCAGTTATAGCCAACCTGACCCTAGAAGTCATTTCAGGCCCTCCTGGTGGTACCACATTCTTCTGAATTTTGCTCTGTATCTGTTTGAAATGGGCCTTTTTATTTTTAATTTAATGCTGGTGCTCACAATGTGGAACATTTGTACCTTTGATATTAGACATGCACCAACAATTTTAATTATTATGGGCATATTAAATACATAACCTATTTATGCAACCCTTCCTTGTATAGTTTGCCCTACTACAGTATGTATTTTTATAGACATGCTAGAGCAACCTCATGTTAAGTCTGGATTACATGGTTTTAATTTCATAATCATAAATGGAAATCTGGGGCGGAGGAGTAGGTTTTATGGCTTATTTCAATAAAATGGCTTAAACACGGATCTGAAACTTGGCAGTATAGGAGAGGTTGGACTGAAGGTGGTTCTGATCCATGCTGTCTGTGAGGTGGAAAGGCTTATTCATAAGACATGGAACTTTAATAGCTCTTCTATGGTTTTGACATACACTGTTTGTTTTTCCATAGATACTGTAGAGGTCATCTTATTGCCTTATTTCTGCAATTTTACAGCATGTATAATTATTTCTTGTGTTTGGTCAGAGAGATGGTCTGGTGTATGTTGTTCCCCAGTGGCTGCATAAGGTGTTCTTAGGGTTGTCTCCTGCACTCGGATCTTAGAATCATAGAATACTGAAGTTAGAAGGGACCAGTAATGCAGAAATACAGATCAAAGAATATCTGCCAGGTGATTGTTTAAGTTTCTCTTGAATGCCTCCTGTTTGGAGCACTCACCAACTCCTGAGATAACTGGTTCCACTGTTGTACTGCTCCAACAGTCAGGAAGTTTTTCCTCATATTCAATCAAAATCTAGCTTCCTGTAATTTGAACCCATTGTTCCATGTCCTGTACTTTGGGATGACTGAGAACAGATTCTGCCCCTCCTATGTCCAGTTCTTTCAGCCATTCCTCATAAGGCTTGGTTTCCAGCCCCCTGATAATCCTTGTTGCCCTCCTCTGAACTTGTTCCAATTTGTTATTATCCTTCTTGAAGTGTGGTGAGACCTAACCAGTGCTGAATAGAGGGGGACTAGCACCTCACTGGATTTGGAAACTATACTTCTATTAATGCAGCCTAAAATAGCACTTGCCTTCTTTGTAGCCACATCACACTATTGGCTCATATTCAGCTTGTGATCTATGACAATTCCAAGATCCTTCTTGCTTGTAGTTTTGCTGAGCCAGGTATCCCCCATCTTGTAACTGTGCAATTGGTTTCTTTTTCCGAGGTGCAGTACTTTGTACTTCTCCGTGTTGAATTTCATTTTGTTGCTTTTGGTCCAGTGCTCCATCCTATCATTTTATTATTATATATTTTACTGTTTGTGCACACACCACCTTGGAATCTTTAGGCATAAACAATTTATTAAAAATTATAAGTTGAATAGAGCTGTTATTGTTGTTGAGGATGAAGGGCCATGCTCATGTACTCCAACCCTCACTGTTTATTGCTTCAGCGGGATTCATATCAAGTAAAATCTACCCCTACCTCCCCAAAAGAAGAAAGGAAGGAAGGAAGACAGTTATCTTGGTGCAGCTTCAGATCTGCAGGAAACTATTTCAAGCCTATTGCCCTCACATGAGTGACTGCACATTAAAGTACATTTGTGGGGATTCATCCATGGAGTGTGGAGGCTAGGACTGGGAATGACTGTCTAGGAGAAATATTAAAACTGGATGGTTTATATTTTGTTGCTTCTAAATCTGCTTTTAGTAATGGTTTTACCTAACATTTTTAATATGTTATTAATCCTTTTTAAATATTTGAATAACTTACTATTTTTAGCTTTTAATATTGTGTTTTTAATTATCTAAGCCGCCTTGGGTTCATTTTAAATAAATAAATAAATAAATATGCCTCATTTCCACTGCAAAGGGCCATTTTTAAATGCAAATATAGAAGTCCAGCTCACCACCAGTGGCCACACCACCCTGTCTTCTTGTGATACATATATTGCCATTTTGGAGATGCACAAGAGCATCTGTGACGTGTGCCATGACGTCACCTGCCTGTCTTGGCTAAGGCTGGAGTTTCCTGGCCTATGGCAGGGCAGGAGGTGGGTCTTAAAGGGGTGGAGTTAATGTATATAAGGGGGAAGTGCAAAGGTTAGAGAAATAGATAGAGGGCTGAGAGCGGGCTTGAAAGAAGATCTGTAGACAGGGTTAGATATAGGTTAGGTAATTGAGTGTTAAGTAACCAAGAACTGTGCAGGGTTAAGGTCTGAGAAATATAGTGTGACAAGTGATTCTTTTACTCAGTGATTTCCATTTTATTTTTCTATTCAATAAATCATCATTTTTATTTGGAAATCCATACTAAGTCTGAAGTGTCATGTTTATGTGTGGTTGGTGGCAACGAAGTTGTGTATGTGTGTGTGAAGGATCGTGACCTGTCATCTCGTGTGGTGACGTAGGAGGAGGTGGCAGTCGCGACAGCATCTATTAAGAGATTCTGCTGCTATTTCCTCAACAATGTCTTTTGGCACTGTTGGCTATAACAACAACACAAGATCATAGCCACTGGAGTCAAGAGATGGGTCTTTCCAATGCCAAAACTGCAGCTACTCATGGCGTATACTGTAACCATTCCAATATGTGGTCTTCTCAATAGGGAGGGAATTTTGTTTGGATACCGATGAAAAGCTGCATGAAAGAGGCTTTTTCACTTTTGTGATTCTTCATTGGTTTCCAAAAAGGGACCTCTTGACTGTGAATGTTTCATATGGTAAACAAAAAGAAGGGTGAACAGCAATTTTGTACTTTTTTCATTTCGCTCTTTCATTTGTCCTTTCTTTCACCCAATGTCTGTCAAATTGTGCAGGAAATGCAGTGTCATGAGAGCTCTTATCAGCAGCCAATCAGGAATTTCTTCAGGAATACCTTCTACAATTCTGTTAATTGTGTTGTGCTTCTGACATGAATCAAGGAAGTTAGTTCAAGATTTGGCCAAATGGTTTGCATAGCCTTAGTTTTTATGAAGCCTTTTCTCCATTTGTCCCCTCCAGAAAAAAAGCAATGACTTTCATTTGAATTTCTCTCAGCTGCAATTCCTTTTCCACTTCTCTTTCATGCATCACTCTGTTTTACCTATTTCCTGCCCACATTATACGAAGGAACCAATTATAGTAGCCATTTATTAAAAGCTCCTTCTGGGGTATTTCACCTAATAAAAGAATGCTTGTTTAAAAATGACTCTGAAAATGGCTTGTATGTGTTTCTCTTCCTTTCATCATAAGGTTCAAGGCATCACAGCTTCCTGAAATGCTTCTGCAGTCACAGTTGTGAAGATGGACAGGCAGGCAATTTCTCCCTCTATGCCTCAAGGAGAGGTAGAAAGCAGTAACGTGAGGGATGAAAACTTGGGAACAACAGAGCTGGATATGCTGGCAAAAGCACACGAGTTCTTCCAAATCTGTGATATAGAAGGCAAAGGATTTGTGTTTCGTCATGAGATGCAGGTAAAGTGAACAACACTGCTTTACAAAAAGTTCTGAATCCTTCAAAACAAACCACTTGAGGCAGTTTAGCATGCTTTAGCTGGTGTTAAAAGCAGTGTTCAGCAGGGATGTTGACAAATGTTTGGTTCGGAGGCCCAAGTCCTAACCTGAGTCTTTGTTACCAAGTCCTGAGCCCCAAGTCCCAGTCCCTATTAAAAACAAACTTTTTCCCACAGAAAAAAAGGAGGGGTGGGTGGGTTCTGAGTCGCAAGTCGAGTACGAGCCATTGAGAAAAAAAATCCCAAGTTGGCTCATTATTGTGACTTAAGTATGAATTGACAGCAAGTCCCGTGACTCAAGTTCCCGTCCCTGGTATTCAGGAACAAACAGGCTATGCAAACATTTTCTTGGAAAAAAATTCTGTTGTTTTACTTTTTATTTTATTTTTGGTTTTATTTTTGGTTCCCTCAAAATTCCCTCTTCAGATGAAGAGCCTTCAAATCTGCATTTGGTTTTCATTTTGAAGACAACATTATTGGCAACTCTGTTCTTATTGTTTGCTGCATGGAGACCTTTGTTCAGGACTTAGTGAATTGCTAGGTTGTTAAAACAAAGACACAAAGAAGAAGCAAACTTGGGATCCATGCCTATAGGCCTGTAAGACCCAACATTTCTAAGGCATCTATTTGAATAAAATTTATATATTCAAATTTATATGTCAACGTGCAAATATGATCCCCCTCCCCACACTTCTGGTGAAAAGAAAGCCAAACTCCAGTTCCTCCTCTCAAGGTTTATAAAAAAGGAGGCAGTGCCAGCACATAGCAAAACAGCTTCATAACCCTGGTAATACTTTTTAAAATTAAACATAAAAATGAACATCTCTAACCACATACATAGATCTCCCCATCAAAAGTAGGAGAGCGAGAGAGAGAGAGAGAGAGAATACTGTACTTATTTCTCTATGATACAGCTGCGAGAGAGAGAGAGCGAGAGAGAGAGAGAATACTTATTTCTCTATGATACAGCTGTTTAATGGAGTACATGCTTTAGCAGTCAGACATGCAAAGCTGGATAATCAGTTTTCCATCTCTGTCTTGATATACTAAGGATTTGCAACTGATTCTACATCCAGGGGCAACCTGGTAACACAGGCTGGTTCTCCAAGCTTTGGAGAGAAGTCACTATAGTCCCCATACCTACAATCCTGGTAACACAGGCTGGTTCTCCAAGCTTGCAGTTACCATTTTGGAGAGAAGTCACTATAGTTCCCATACCTACAACGTTTGGCCAGGATGATTATTCAACTTCTCTGTTTTTCCTGCTCTGCTCTCTCACCTAGGATTTGCCATGCCCAGCCTCAAGGACTCAAAAGCTCACTTTTTCCTCTCTCCACTGACTGCTTAAAGCATTTAGATTGCCCAATAAAAGCATTATCCAGTTCTCTTTTTCATTTTACTTATAGTCCACATGGTTAACTTTTTAAAAACCTCTTTTTAGCTACACACACATACAACTAAAAAGAGGTTGGCTACAGACCAGTCATCTTTCCAGTCTAGAACTGTCTTGCTGTAAGAGGTAGGTGGCAGCATCTGTACATGTCCACATTATAGGTCTATGCTATGCGGTCTCTTCACCCTTCATCGTGCAACTGTTTCACCCAGCTAAGTAGGGATCATAGGGGTGGCTGATCAGAGGTTTGGGGGTCATAGCCTCCCTTCTGCCTTAGGCAGAAGCACTATAAGCTACTGCCACAGAAGTTTAGTAAATCCATGGCCAAGCCATCAAGCACCCCAGTCCCAGAGCTAGACGGAGAACCTGCTACTACAGCCTTTTTGGTACCCTCTTCTTATGCTTCCAACAGAACACTCCGACAGTACAAAGCAGAAGGTGACCTTATTCCCAGCATGGTCTTTTCTGCCCAGACCAGAGCATGATTCTTTTTTATTCTGAGCAGCATGAAAGAGTTCATCTGACATGAACCACAAGCCGAACAGCCAATATATCAAACAAGACTTCAAAGGAGCAGATCCTGATTAATACCCAGGCTGCTGGATTTGTCCCTCCCAAGGTGATAAAGCCATTCCTTTTCATGTGGAGTGTCTGGCACTCTGAGAAAAGACTTGGCTTCCAATGTCTCCCCAGGCCCCATTTCTATGTTGCCAGTATCTAAAATGGTGTGTATAACCATTCTGGAAAGATCACAAACACCATCTGTTCAACGTGCTCCCTCTAGTGAACCCTAATGCACTGGTTTGTGATTGCTGCCCCTAAAAGAGAAGAGCCAAGCAAGACTGTAATATCTCAAGCAGTCTTTGGGGGCTTGGGTACTGAAGAGACTGCCTTGTTCATGCTTTCCCAGGTCAAGCAGAAGCGCAGCCCCAGGGTTGGCAATTTCCAGACATCTGGGGACCAATCCCTAGACCTTGGAGGGCTACAACCACTACTGTGACCCCCAGTCCACTAATTTTTCCCCTATTTGGAAAGCCCCCTTGCATCCCCTGGTGGCAATTTTTAAAATATAATATTTAAAATTTGATCTAGGCCTAAGGGGTGCCTGGGTCCTAAAACAAAGCCTTTGCCAGGACAAAAGAGAGCCTTAAGGGACTTCAGAAATTGAAAGGGTGGGAACAGGAAGCTTTCCTCCTTTAAACTGATTACCTAAGCAGGGATTTGCTGACTGTCAGCACCCGTCCTGTTTGTGATGTGTTCGTCCAAATTACAGAACTGTGTTACAGGGCTGGCAAAGGAGCCCTGTGCTAAGTCTGTCTCAGAGGAAATGCATCCCTCTCTTCTAACTACCAGTGGTGGGGGAGGGGGCAAGAGTAGGGTGAACAGACTGTATTGAGAAAATGGCTCAAGAGATTGATCCAAAGCATGGATGTATAGGAAAGGAGAGGCTGAAGGTGGTCCTTGCCAGTCATGAGATGTGAAGGGCATGAAATGCAGGGATGCTGGCAAATTCAGTCACGTATGCATTTATGGAGACATTTTTGTGGTTCATTGGGGCAAATTTTGTAATGAGAGGGAAAGGATGTCAATAATGCACAGCTATTACATATTTTTCAAAACCATACAATCAGAACAGGTTTTTTTCCTCTGCCATTGTGCTATTTGCGGATTTATTACTTTATTATTTTTGTGTTTGGTGACTCTCTTTCAGTCAGCCAGGAGGTGCAGTATAGACTAGAACATCATGTATATAAACGAATAGTGAGCTTTCAATGATAAATCATCTTATTCGTGCATCAAGTTCTTGTGGGTTGTTCCAAATTTATAGGCTGTCATTAATGTCGCAAATTCACATGGCTGATGACGTTGAGGCCCAGTTCACTTCTTAGATGGAGATAGCTCCAGTATGCAAGTTGGTTTCAAGCTCTTCCTTAGCCTGATTGTCCTTTAATAGATGGATCATAAATTCCAAACTGCTAGCTGAGGAGGAGCTTAAAACCAACTTACATACTGCAGCTATCCCCATCTAAGAAGCTAACCTGGCGTCAACGTCATCAGCCATGTGAATATTTAAGTTAAAAAAATCTCTGCAAGCATTATCTGTTGCATGCCAAGTTTGCACAAGTTAGTATGTAACAGATAATGCCTATGAGGATTTCTTAATTGGTGGTGATTCACTTCCAAAAGTTATGCTATTTGTGTAAATGAACAACAAGATTTTAGCTGTTGCCTAAATAACATATATCTTAAATCTGTAGTCATGAGACAGTAGGCAGTGATCTGACTTCCCACTGTGATATGGGAGTGTAGATACACCAATGTCCAACCAACTGTTTAATAAATATATTGATCCAAAACCTGACAGCGTAGGAGAGGTGGGTTTGAAGATAGGAAGCAGAAGGTGGGTGAAATAGCTTACTTCTTGTAATTTAAATTTTGATGAATAAACTTCATCAGTTTTGTGGCATCTTAAAGAATGAAAAGTTAATTTGATTCAGGCTTTTGCGGACTGTGTTACAAAAGTCAGTGAAAGTTTGTATTAAATAAAAAATTTTAGTCTTTTAAATTGTAACAAGATTTTTCCTGCAGTGGACTAACACAACGATTCTCTCAAAACTTAAATCAAATTGACAGGTACTTTTTTCTTCCTAGATTTTGTGGTGTTAAACTTTATTGGCCAATTTCTCTCTGTATATAATATTTTCCAGAACTGTTCAGGAAGAAGGTCTAGTACACCCTTTATTCTAATGGAACCTTAACCTTAACTACAACAGCAACAATTTTTTAAATGTGGCATCCATCTTAATAGAGCTCAAAGGGTCTATTTTGGGATCATGCATAGTAATGTCTTTTAAGTGGCAGGAGAGAACGCAGAAGGAAGGACAGTAGTTATGTCTATCAAGGGTTAAACAGGAGGAAGGAAAGTGATGTTGACAGCCATTGTTTCATCAACTTTGACTTTTGGGTTTGGATTCTCCATTTATTCTGTAGCAGTGTGTGGATCATTATACAGTGGTGCCTCACTTAACGAGCGCACTGTTTAACGATGAATCCGCATAGCGAGGCTTTTTTTGCGATTGTTTTTACGATCGCATTGCAATGTTTTCTATGGGCAAACATCGCATTGCGATGATCGGTAAGCGTTTCACTTATCGATCTTCACATTGTGATGTTTGGGAAACAGCTGATCGGCGGTTCCAAAATGGCCACCAGAAGAAAAAAATGGCCGCCTGCAGTGTTTTTGCGCCCTGCCCTCGCTTACCAAGGCGGCGAAAATGGCGGCCCTATGGGGAATCTTCGCTTAACAGTGAGTTTATCTCCCATAGGAACACATTAAACGGAGTTTATCCCCCATAGGAACGCATTAAACGGAACTTAAAACCCCATAGGAATGCATTAAACTCCTTTAATGCATTCCTATGGGGTTTTCAGTTCCATTTAGCGATGTTTCCGGATAGCGACGTTAATCCTGGAACGGATTAATGTCGCTATGCAGGGCACCACTGTATAAATATTGCATCAGGTCTCCCACAATTCCAATCACTGCCTTTCCTCTCTATTTTCTTTGT